AGATGTGAGAAGGGAAGTGAAGATATTGAGGGCTTTGTCTGGTCATAACAACCTTCCTCATTTCTATGATGCTTATGAGGATCATGATAATGTCTATATAGTGATGGAGTAAGTTCACTTTTGCTCAGACATCATTCTGAAATCAGCATTGACAAGGCTTAACAAGTGTTTTCTATCGTTGTTGTTTTAGGCTATGTGAAGGAGGAGAGCTTTTGGATAGAATACTTTCAAGGTAAAGAGAATTTCTTCAATTTAGAAGTAGGATTTAGTTCTTACTAGTTTTGGGATTGTTTTTTATTGAACTTGGTGGTTTTTAATGTGCAGAGGTGGGAAGTACACAGAGGAGGATGCAAAGACTGTTATGATACAAATATTGAATGTGGTTGCCTTTTGTCATCTTCAAGGTGTTGTACACAGAGATCTTAAACCAGAGGTAATAAAAGCTCTTTATTTCTACTTATACATTTGATGTTCATTGCAATCTTAATGAAGTTTACTTAAAACTATTTGGATCAGAATTTTCTCTTTACCTCAAAAGAAGACACCTCTCAGTTAAAGGCAATAGATTTTGGTTTGTCGGATTACGTGAGACCAGGTAAAGCCCTTAGATCATATGCGGTATGTATAGTTAGATTCCCGAATCTAGAGATTTACATTTGTTTATATACTTTGACAATTGCATTTTGCAGATGAGAGGCTCAATGACATTGTTGGCAGTGCTTACTATGTAGCACCTGAAGTTCTGCATAGATCTTACAGTACAGAAGCTGATATTTGGAGTGTTGGTGTGATTGTGTATATTCTATTGTGTGGAAGCCGACCGTTTTGGGCTAGGACAGAATCAGGAATCTTTCGTGCTGTTCTAAAAGCAGATCCGAGTTTTGATGACCCTCCTTGGCCTTTGTTATCTTCAGAGGCTAGAGATTTTGTAAAGCGGTTGCTAAACAAAGACCCGCGTAAAAGATTAACAGCTGCTCAAGCCTTAAGTAAGTGTAGAATGCATATAAACTGTTTGGATGTGTAGAATGCATACAAAATTGTTCCAGTGTGAAGAGAAAATTGTAATATTTTCCATTCTTTCAGGTCATCCATGGATAAAAGACTCTAATAACGCAAAGGTTCCATTGGATATTCTGGTTTTCAAACTTATGAGAGCTTATTTACGATCATCATCTCTTCGTAAAGCTGCATTAAGGGTGGGTGGATCAGTTTTCCAATATTTCTGTTTCAATGGTCACTTCTATTTTTGCTTACCGTTCGCCATTTCTTGCAGGCCTTGTCGAAAACACTTACAGTGGATGAATTGTTTTATCTGAGGGAGCAGTTTGCGTTACTAGAACCTAGTAAAAACGGAACCATAAGTCTAGAAAACATCAAATCAGTAAGTTTTCTATCTTCCGTCCTGTTTCAGTATATCTTCTGGTACGCTTTGGTTATTCTCACGACACTGGCTCGACTCTCTTTGTTAGGCTCTGATGAAAATGGCAACAGATGCAATGAAGGATTCGCGTATTCCAGAATTCTTAGGACAAGTAAGAGCCTTGACTCGTGCAATTCAATGTCTAAACCACACAATTTGATTTGGTAATTGAAAATCTTATTGGACTATCTTTGTAGCTGAGTGCTCTTCAATATAGAAGAATGGACTTTGAGGAATTCTGTGCAGCGGCATTGAGTGTTCACCAGCTAGAAGCTCTTGATCGATGGGAACAACACGCTCGTTGTGCTTATGAGCTTTTCGAAAAGGAAGGAAACCGACCTATCATGATCGATGAACTCGCTTCGGTCTGTCTCTTTTTATCTAACCCCCTATTTATACAAAAGCCTGTTTCAAGTCTTTGGAAATGCTCAAATCAACTGATTGGTTAAACTTATTTCAGGAACTTGGTCTTGGTCCTTCTGTACCGGTTCACGCAGTGCTTCACGATTGGCTTAGGCATACTGATGGGAAGCTTAGCTTTCTCGGATTTGTGAAATTGCTACATGGTGTGTCTAGCCGCACGATCAAAGCTCATTAGAAGGGTTTTGAAACTTGCAATGATATGTATGAAATCTGTCTGAGGTCTCTTTTTGTTATGAAAGCTGAGAAGCAAAGATAAAAAAAAAAAAAAGAGTGTAGCAAAAAAAGAGAAGTGTGTTAGTTTTTGTAGAGAATGATGATATTTTTCCAAACTTGGTAACTTATGACGATTGATGATGTTTCTGACATTTCTAGATTTTTTATTTTAACACCAATCTTATTTTCCAATTTTTTTTATCTATTAAATTATTATTTCCGAAAAATCATTATATTTGTATATGTCTTGAAAAGTCATCTAAACAAATTCCGTGAACGATTGAATGTGTCCATCAAAGATTACGGAGAAAGAAGTGTATGTCGTGAATATTATAAGGTCAGAAAAAATTGTTCATGGTAAAATTGTTTATGTATCAGTTATTATAATTTGTAATAAATAGACGTTAAAAAGTAATATAAAATTTTCAAATATACAAAAGATTCTTTAAATTCATAGAGAACAACAATTGAGCAAATGTGTCAAATCTTCGACAAAAATTGTCCGAACTCAATTAGCAATTACTCTATTTTTCATTCTTCATAAACTATTATAAACTTTAAATCATTCAAAACAAACATTTTGAAGATAGCCCGTCGGAGAAAACTAAAAAAAGAGAAGAAAAATGAAGAAAACTTTGTGATTGGTGTTGTTGAGCTTAGCACAAAAGTGGTTTCATTTTTCAGGTCCAGTAGAGATACAGTAAAACCTCTATAAATTAATATTCGATAAATTAATAACCTCTATTAATTAATTAATAATTTAGAGGAATGTAGCTTACAAATCTTTCTTGTTTCTAACGCTAACAAACATAAGGGTTACGAGATCGAAGTCTAAAGCTTTGGCTCGTATCATGGTAGTATTTGAAACCCTTCTCTTTTATTTTTTCGTTTTTTAACATCTTTCTAGATTCAGTATCTGGTTCACTTTGTTTTATACATTTTTAGCAAAATGATTTTTTTATACAAGTGCTAAAATAAAGGTTGCTTGCCTTATAGTGCTGCATGTTTGTTTGATATGAAACACATTTTATCTGAAATCTGATCTTGTTCTCACAGATTTTGATTTGCTAACGTCTTCCTCCAAAACTCCTCAGGTTCATTTGGTGACTGATGAGCTAAGCAATTAACCCAAATGATAATAACAATGATATCTTATGAAAGGTCCACCCAAGCCAAAAGTTGAGTCTCCTGAATGATGCAATTTAGACTGTCTCTCGACTAGGCACATAAAGGGAGAGAAATCATAAACTACGACGGGAGAAAGGTGTTGCAAAGGCTGCAGAGGACTTAAAGAAATGTAATCTCCCATATATTTGCTTTTTCACTGTGTTTTATGTATGTTTGTTCATGCCCTTTACTTTTTGGGGAATCCAAGTTAGTTTGAAATCTTATATATATGCAGATGACCTGAATAATGATCCAAGTGCTTCTGGAGATCCATTCAAGACTTTATTCATTTCAAAGACTTGTAAGTTTTGATTATTTTTGCGTTGAATGATTTTTCTTAGACAGGTGAGTTATGTTTTGCTTTACTTTAGCCTGTTATCGTCTTGCAGAACTATGAATCCTCCGAGAGTATAAGCTCTTTGTTTTCTAGCAACCAAGGTTACTGGTGCTATACTGTATAACTACACCTAAGTATTCCATGAATTTGGATAACCCAATTCCACATAGTTTTTCAAGTTTTGTATGTAACGTCTTTTTAAAGGATGTTATTTAACAATTTAGAACAACTTTTATTTAAAAATTTTTTTGAATAAATTTATTTTTTTAAATCCCAAAAAAATACTCTTAATAGAAAGATTTTTTCATATTGCTTAAAAATAAATAATAGATATAGTTTTTTACGCTTTAAGGTTTATTTCACGATTTTACTCAAATTTACAACACAAAAAGATGATGGTTTTTTGGGGAAAATGCAAAAGTCATCGTGTATGTTGAATACAGAATTTTGTATATTTTTTTGGCTTGTAAAAATTGAATTTTGCTAAGGTTAAGCGGCCATGTCACTTGTAAATTAATTATTTTAGAACAAACTCATTTGCTTTAGTGAAATTTAACAAATGTGAAACGACGTTATTAGAAAAAAAATGGAGGATTACACCAACAAATAAGTATTTCTATTTATTTATCCCAAAAAACTCATTTACATGTTTTCCAAATTAGCCAAAGTAGTCTTCCAAGCCAATAACTCTTATGTATTTCACTTTTATGTTCCATGTTATATCATGCAAATCCTCCATGAGGATCACATTACTGATTATTGTTAATTTTACTATTTTGTTGCCCAAATCTTTTGGATTTACCATTTTGCTTCATATTTAGATTTGCTATTTTTGGTCACTTTAAAAACTAGACATTTGTGAATTTCTTTTATAGACAATACGTACTTAATAACAAACACTAAATCCAGAAATAAAACATAACAAAAAAAACTCAAATATAATATGTAAAATTATGTTTTTAAAACATCATAAAATGACAAATCTAAAATATTTAAAGTAAAATGACAAAATCCACAAATGCCAAAAAAAAAAAAAAAAAATCCTAATTGGGCAAGATGTTATTTTTTAATTAATGTGTGCTTAGTAAAAAAAAAAATTCAAGTTGATCCATCACATTATATGTCTTCAATTCCTATGTAGGAAATATTACAGATTTTGCCATTGGTGACATTTATGAATTTTACAATTTTCTCTAAAATTTTACGGATTTGCTATTTTTGAACACTTTAAGAAATCCAAACTTACGATTTTTTTTCTTACTAAAATACATATATTATAACAAATCTAAACATAACAAATATTAAACTTAAACATGACTGAGTAAAACTCATGTTAAATCAAACTTTAAACCAAATGATAAATTCACAAAGACCACTCCAGAAAAATGGCAAACCAGAATTTGATTCTACTAGTTTAAGCTGTTTAAAAAAAAAGAGGATCATTTAAGAAAGGAAAAAGGATCCAACTGTAAATTACGACACAACAGCCAAACGGATCCCGTCGATAAAGTTTTAAAGGTTACTTCAAAAAATAAAAAAATCAAAATCAAAATTCAAAAGCCGTTTGCTTTTTTTTTTTTTTTGAAATTTCCATGGCGGACGAAAATGAGATCATCGATATATATAGCTCGGATGAGGAAGACGAAGAAGATGATGATATCGATAGCGAGAGTAGCGAAGAAGATGAAGATCGGAATCTGAGGTATTTTGCGTATTTCACGATGATTTAATTCCGATTTAATCGAAGTTTTTGATCGATTCTGGATTTATTCGATTCAGTGGAGATGGTAGCGAATCAAGCGAAGATGATTATACTGATTCGAATTCGGATTCTGATGACGATGAAGAAGATGATGATGATGATGATGATGATAACGAAGAAGAAGACTCTCTTGTAGATAAAGTCACTCGTCTACTCAAAGGTTTATCAATTTAGTGCTTAATTATGGATCTTGATTTGTTTGCATTAATTTAGGGTTAGTGAATCTTGATTGATTAAAAAAATTAGTAACAATTGTTTATAAGGAACATTTTTGCTTAATTATTGAATTGGAATTGGATCATTCTAAGTTTTTTACAAGAAATTGGGGAATGTTGCTATATATATATATATATATATATATATATATCTTTAACTTGTGTTACTAAAAACTCTGTTGGGATTTGGTTTTAGGGAAACAAGATTGACTCATAAACATTTCTTAGCTGGGAAGCTTTTTTAAGGTAAATCAAAGCGACTACGATTAGCCGATACATAAGTAGTTTATTATTTCAGCCATTTTGTTGTTCTTGTTGTTCTTCTTGTTTTAAGATAAACAACTCCATTTTTGTTTGCATCTATCTCTCTGTCTATGGTGGAAATTCCACGGTTATATGATTTCGTTCTTATTGTGATCTTACCGGCTTTTTAGGGTAAAAGATAGGAGCATTAAAGAAGCAGTTTATCAAAGATCATCTACTGCTAAGGTAAATCATATATACTGCTTCTATGCATGCTCTAACTTAATGCCAGAGATGACGAAAACATTTTGTTAGTGAAAGGGAGATTATTGTTCTCTTCACACTTATATAAGTTTCTTTTTTTGAAAGAATGTAAAATTTATTCAATCAAAAAACCGGTGTTACAACAAGTGTATCAGTTTCGAGTTTATAGAAAGACTCTGTTTTAAATTACAAGTTTAAGTTTGAGTAGAAAACCAAAGCATGAGAAGGTCTGCATACTTGTGGTTCCCCGAGCAGCGAAGAATTGTGATCTTGTTCCGAATTGTTTTCCCTATCATTTGGCTAAGGCGAGGAGCTGGGATGTGAGCTTCGCCATGTCTGCGGTTGTTCCGTTCTCTCCAAATGCTAGCTCCGAAGAAGGATTTATAAACTTGTGTTTGAATCACTCATAAGTTCGAGAAGTTCTTTTCATATATGATTGTACTAAAGCCTACTCCGAGCGAACTAACCCGTTGCCAATGGTTATGCATACCGGTATTCATGATTTTTGGGGTGGCATGTAACTTCTTTAACTCACTGTTCCTGGTCTAGTTTCGCTTCTTTACGCAGTACAATAACACATGCTAGCTTGTGTATTAAAGAAAACTCTCAATGTGTTCTTGTCAACACTGCTTATCAGTACTCTTATTTTGTTATTCTATAAATATAAGAGACTCTTTGATGATCTCTTGATGACTTGACCATCACCAAAGTTTTACTCTCGTGTGAAAAAATGGACCCCGAAACATAGAGTAGTTCCTTGACGTGACAACACTTAAAAGGACCATTGTTTCTAAATTACCTTGAAGGGGGTCCCTTTTTATTTTTTGATCGGATCTTATGTCCATTCGTCCATTCACATGACTTGTCGGATCTTCTTGTGTCCCGAATTTAAACACGAAGGCACTTGTACCTTTTTAAACTTAAAGCCACAAAAAAAAGTTCAAGCCTTAGCCGACAAGACATCCCATCATCTCTAAAGGCATGCAAACTAAAGACCAAAATAAAACTACTATGAGATAAGAGATTGATAGATCATTCACGCCAATCATAAACCACCCTTTAAAATACTTAATTACATTACAAACACAATAATACACACATATGGCTAAAAGAACATTGAATAAAATCAGAAACCAATCAAATCATATTTTTTAAGTACTAGCTAGAATCTTGTGTTTGATGGTCGGATATCGAGTTCATGTGTCCAAGCTCTCCTGTCTTGAACATGGAGATACCAATATGTTTGAGCCAATACATCAGGATCCATTCCCATCACTCCCGAGCTTTCTCCTTCTCCTTCTCCATCTTCGCCTCCTACGTTGAATGATTGCTCCGCGACCATTCCTCGGGGAGGGATGTTTGTTTCTCTGGAAACACATTTTCAAGAGATTTTATCTATGCAATACTATTTGATTTTGTAAGATCTTCAAACCTTAAATATGTCAATAGTGGGGACTCTTTTTAAAAGTTCATCCCTTTATATTTGACCGATAATTTCAAGAAGATAATGAAATAGAGGCTAAGGAATCATAAAATGTTCCATTTACTAGAAAAAGAAAAGAGTAAATAAATGAGAAGTGGAGCTACATAATTTTTTCATTGCAATTTTTTGTGAGGTAAGAATCTTGTCGGTTTGGATCAGAATCTTGCTATTTATGGAAGCTATAAAAAGTTAAAAGAGCCTTTTTCGGACAGATATTTGTGGTTCTAATTTATTTATTTTTTTCTTAATGAGAAAAAATGGAAAGTGATCACATAATTGTGTGTACCTTGGAGGTCCAACGACACCGTCGATGATAACATGAGCCACATGTATTCCAAAAGCTTGATATTCTTTTGCTAAGCATTGAGACAGTGCCCTCAATGCAAACTTCCCACAGCCTGTGCCAATTTCATATATTTTCTTTAGTGGCTAACTTATTAAAATAAATATAGTATTTATTTGCAAAAATTTAAATAAAATCATTTTTTAAAAATCTTGAGAAAATTACATAGCTCGGAGAAACCAGCAATGCCATTCAAAGACGCCGAGCAACCGGTGAAGAGTATAGTTCCTTTTCCTTTCTCCATCATCCCGGGAATAACCTTTTGGTACCATATTAAAAATCAAATATAAACCTTAGAAATAAGAAAGAAACAAAAAAAGTATCGAAATCATTCAATATTAGATTTACCTTCAGCCTCCTGACAAATTTATTTGGCACAAGTAGCACATCAACAAATGATTAAATAATCTATTAAACAATTACTTGTTATTATCTAAAGAAATTTATTTATATTAGCTAAAAGATTAAAACTCTTAAGGAAAAATGACGAACCAAATATTAACAAGTGTATGTTTTGTATAAAATTATGGGTCGAACAAATTAAAGGCTATCCTGAAACCATATGTTCTAGGGTTTTTTCGGCCATGACTAACATGAGTGATTTCAAAAGAAAACACATTGTTGCGTATAATATAATAAATCGCGATTTCGAGAAAGGTCACCTGTTGGGCGCAAAGAAATGCAGCGAAGACAGAGACAGAGATAGAAGTTTGGAAAGATTGAAAAGGAATGTGGGTGAAAGAAGTGGGATGGTGACTTGCGTAAGACGAAGAAGAATGATAAGCATTGTACACTAAAACCTCCACGAACCCTAACGACAATACTCCTTCGAAGGCTTCTCTTACACTTCTTGGATCTGCACAATCAATTCTTATAGCAAACACTTGAGCTTTCTCTTCTCTTGCTATCTCTTCTGCTACTCGAGATAACCTACCTGCACAATTGATCCGACTATATATCAAGAGAGTGACCAAGTATATATATATCCAAAAGTGTTCTTAGAAAAAAAAAACAGTGTGTTAAATTTTGTAGTGTCGGTAAGTGCACCGTTTTGTGATTAATTTTTAGATGATAGGCGTGACTAAGTAAGTAGCGGAGTAACTATTTCATGTACTTGGAGGCTAGGGATGTAAAAAACACTACATTATTGTAGTCAAATGGAAACCAATTTAATGTTTTTATCACCGAACAGAATGAAAAAGTGTCACTGTTTCCGTTACTTTTGTGTAAAATAAAACAAAATAAAATTCCGATTGAATTGGATAAGTTTTACTGAACTGGTTCATAAGAAGAATTCATCGAGACAACTAGTTACACTGAAAAATGTATAAACCTATAGTGATGTACTGAATACTAATTATGTATAAACCCAAAATCTGAAAACCTTTTTTTAACAAAATTTACATTTAAAATGCACCTTTGACTATAAATTATATATGATTAGTATGCATGTGTGTGTGTGTGTGTGAGACTGTGTGGTGTGAGTCAGTCGCATTAATATATTTGCCAAAAGCAGAAATCCAGCGAAAGAAAACAATCTAAAAATAACTCTTTTTTTGTTTGTTAAAGGCTTGAAAAATAACTCATTTTCCAAAGATGAAGAAGAAAATTCCTTTTCTTCATTGGAATAAAAATGAAGAAGAAAATTCACATGGGAACATATATATAAAAAAGTATATTTATACATGGAAATATGTGGGTGTATATAAGTGTATGAATAGATAAAGATATGGATAAAAAGAAAAGCAAAAACAAAATGAAAAGAGAGAGAGAAAAGGAATCAAACCAAGATCGCGAGCGAGAATGGCGACGGTGTAGCCTTCGTGAGCAAACTTCCGAGCGATGGAGCGGCCAAGCTTTGGACCAACGCCGACCACCGCCGCTATGCCTTTGCCGCTGGAACTTGAACTCCCTACGTTTCTCATCATCGATACTTAATGATCTTTCCTTTCTCCACCAATTCTTCTCTTTATATCTACTACTCTTCTCTATGGATAAATAATCGATAAAATAGTGAAAAATATAAGAATTTTTTTTAGTTAAGTTGTGTCCCCTTAACCTAGGCCCTTTAATAAGATTGTCTTGTGAGAGAGAGAAATATTCTTGTGGACTAGATAAATTTTGGTTGTTGTATATATATATACACCTTTCTTTGTCATGTATATGAGAAAAGTTTCATCTACTTTAATAACAATCATAAAATTTAACATTGCGATGATGTAACAATTAGTACAAATATACGTCCTTTATCGACTTATTAATATTCTATATTTAGAATATATGTGTTCTAGGTGAAAGATGGTACTGTCCAATGGATAGTGTGGTTCTTAAACAAAGAGACATGTCATGTGGAAGGAAATATAGCAATTGGTTCTACTTGTTAGACTCTAAAGATGTTTCGAAAAGACTTATATAAGGTGGGCTAGCTTTTGTAAATTACGTGGTTGAGGATTCTATCTATTGGTCAATATATACCATATGCGAATTTTTCATAGCACTTTTTATTTATTTATTTGGTCGTTCTAAAATGGTTTAACATTAAAAATAAAAAAGTGTTTTTTTGCATTTCGAATAATTAATCTGGATTTCGTCACATCATAAGAGGAAACTATAGAAAACTTTTGTGTATATTAAGGGAAAAGTTAGATAGAATTATATTTAGTTTAGTTGTAGGCTTGTAATGTTAGAAATAAAATACCGATTTACATGCAAAAAACTTCGATGAAGTTTATAAGAACATTTTAAATAATATTATATATATATATATTTATTTATTTATAAGAAAGAAAACTAATGAAGAGGATTACAATTTATTAATTAAATTGGTTGACCCATTCGGTCTCTTTTTATGGGGAATATTATTACTATGAGATTTCCCCATTTGATTTTTGTATATAGATTTTTGGCTTTTATTTTTGTCTTGCAAGTTGGACATTTGCTGCCCCTTTTCCTCTTCTGTCAACAGCTCATAGGCGTTTCAAACATATACATACAAATGTAAATGTTACATATGTACTTCACCGAAGTTTCTAGATACATGCATTACTTGTATATCCATATATTTAATTTTTAATACGAACTTTTATTGGTAACCTCTTACACACTACAGAGCTTAACGTTTTTATAATTACTAGGTCGAAACCCGCGCTCCGCCGCGGGATATTTTTCGTAAATTGTGTTTGAAACTAATCAAATAAACAATTTTTGGTGTTTCAATCTCTAACCCTTCATAAACCAATCTCAATCTTATATAGTCTAGAGTCATGATTCATTACATATTCTTTTTTAAAAGGAAGGAAGATTACTGGCTATATTGCAGAGTTCATATGAAGCTGTCATATGAAGCTGTTTGTAGCATTTTTGTTTTAATATGAATATGATTGGTAGAAGTTTAATAAAAGTTTTTTTCACAAATGTTTGATTTATCTTTATATTGTAATATATGTATATATTTATCATCGAATATTATCATTCTTCCAATCATGCTTGTGCTTTGGATTTTGTAAGATTAATCACTTTCGTATCATAAGAAGGATGACTCCAAACAGAAACGATAAAAAAGAATTAAACAAGAATGATTGAAAACAATAATAGCAATTCAAACAAACCACGAATGCTTTATTCTTTCATCCCAATACAAAATGTAAATCTCTGCAAATGTGAAAGCCACACCAGGGAAGCGGCCAAAAAACTAAAAATAATTGTTGCTTAAGACTCAAGTATGTGGAGAAGGTGTCGCTCGATGTTGATTACGGCGATGTGGAAGGCTTAATTCTTTGTCGGCAATTAAAACAGCGACTACAACAGATAACTAACGACGTCACCAATGAACATTTTCAGCGGCCGTAGTCAACTTCACCGTTATATTTTTGTCTTCGTCGTCGCTCTCACTGCGTCTTGCAGACGATCGAGGCTATAGAAGATTAGAAGGTGGATCAAATGAGTATCCCAAATAGCCCTTCTTTAGTCAAGGCTTTACCAGCTCTTATTGAATTAGCCTCTATACAAACATTACTGCTCCCATAACTCGAGAGCAACGTTAAACCGGCATGAGCATTTTGCTCGATTCTATTCTCTTGTCTGTCGAGTTCAAGTAAATAGGCTGTTTGAATAATGCATCCCATAATTGTTCTCTTGTAGTTGGGATCCTTCCTATATATACCGAAAATCAACCAAAAGGTTAAAACTTGTTACGACTAATTAGTAATTAGCATTTCCTCAACAAAACAAAAGTAAATGTAGTTATTCTTCTCTCACATTACACGATTAGCTTGAGACACTTTATAAGGTTAATAAGCATAATGCAATGCAAAGTTTAGCTTGTTCATTGGTTTCTAAATGATGCTTAATGAAGGAAGAATTGAAATGCAATCATTAGAGCAAGTAAATGAGAAGACATCATAAGGCAAAGTAGATTATGACGTTAGAAGCAAAGAATATAACATGACCCAACTTAGAAACATATGGATTTTTGAATTTAAAAAAATTAACTTTCTTCTAAAAACAACATGAAATGTCTAAGATTACAAAAAAAAAAAGGAAAAAATCTCTGTAATTAAGACAAAAGACTAAAATAATAGATCAAACTTGACCAAAAATTCAACTATCTCGATCCCTTCAGATCCAAAGAACAAAATTAAGGTTTTGCTGCAATGTTCGTTTTCGATATTTAAGTTGATGTCTCACAAATTTGAGATTCATACACACTTAAAAATATGTAAAATCAAAGAAGAAACTAATCTCATTGGGGAAAAAAAAAACAGAGCACTTACCAACTGGAGTTGATGAGGTCTCCCCAATTAGGAGAAGCTACATTGCTCGGTCCTGAAACATGGAACGCGTAAGGATGATGAGCTTCATCTTCCTTCACCACCATTGTCTTCAGAGTTATCGGAGAAGAAGCCACGAAATCCACCATTATAGTCATTAATTCAATAATTTCTTCTTCGGTCAGCCATGCGTTTCGGCATCAAAACAATTAAAAAAATTCACTGTTTAGGGTTCTTCTACTTAACAACAGCGGAATTAGAAAACTCTTTCTTAGTGACTTACCATTGACAACAAGCAAATAAGAGATTTCATATGGTTCTCAGCTACAGAATCACCAATAAAACGCATTTTCTTCCCTTGAACCATACTGAGAAACCCCTTGGGATTAAACCTCGGAAGATCGTAACCATCAGGTTTCCATTTCCAGTTTAAAAAATCTGTATCGGGTGTCCCTAGTTTTATGCAGTTCTTCAAGTCAGGAATCGCAGAACAGCTTGAGTTCATGTACAAAGATCTTCTGTCTAGAACCCAACGTCCCTTGAACAAATCACACTCGATATCTAACCAAAAACCACAATAAAAGACAAACAAATCAATAGAATTTTCAGACAGAAATCTCATAAAACAACAAAAAAAAAAAAAAAAAAATACTACAGAATCGGACTGCAAGACCAGAGCCAAACATTTCAACTTGAATTTTATAAGAAGAAGGAAACTAATGCAACAGATACATTCATATAGCATACACTAATCACTCAATTCTGATTTCTTGGACCATGTCTTAAGATTTTAAGAATCCCAATTTACCATTTCTTGGACCATGTCAACAAAATTGTCTCTTTAAAATTACAAGTATCAACAGACAATCGATCTTTATGCACAAATTTATGAATATAAAACATTGATCAATACTCAAATGAATACAAACCCATAATTCCAGTGCAGAGCATCAGACACTTCAATACAACAAACGATATCATCCATCTCAAATTCGAAAATGTGTAGCATAGAAGACAATTTTGTCCCGTTCTTTTGTCAAAATGACGAAAGGGAAACAAATACATGATATTGATACAGAACATATGAAATAACGCGATTGATTTATAAGAAGACCTGGAGGAAGAGAATCGGGGAAGAGGAGAAGCAGCGGGTTTAGGCGGAATATAAAATCCGGTGGCTGGCGAAGATCTGATTTTGGATTTGAGATACGAAACAAAGGATCTGTTCATGAATCGGTTCTATTACTTGGGCCTAGGCCCATATTTATTTTTATATTTGTTCTGATGATAGAGAGAGTGACGTAGAAAAATCGGAAGTTATTACTGGAAGATGAAATTGAGCTGTATTATTTGAAATATTCTGATTGGATATCGATTTTACTGACGTGTCATGAGAACTATCTAAAAAGATAGGAGGTTTGGAGAGACTCTTAATGTTTTTATTGTATTGATTAATCACGAAAACGTTAGTAAAAACGTTATTTTAGTAATTTTATACTGTTTTGTTTTATGGTTTTTTTATCGATTATTCTATCAGCTAAAAACTTATGTTAATTTAAGTGTCACCAATAGGAATCGTTAACATAGGTAATTAAGATTGCCGATAACATGACTCTCGTACTTTTAGAACTAATGTTTGATCAAGAACATTTACTCTTGCATTTAGTATACTTCAATTGATTAACATTACTCTTACCTTGTTTGTTAAAGATTAACATTAGTACTCTTGCTTTTAGAACTATCAAAGATTATATATCCTACGCACGACCGATATGAGATATCTAGATGGGATTTGTGAAATGTGAACTGCGGAAGATAAGAATTGATAGATTCTTGCAGCAACAAAAAGGATTCTTGCAAATATGGGAGAGATAAACTTGAACAAATATATATGAAAAAGTGGCAATAAGATACTTTTTTTTTTTTTTGTCATCTGTGATTATATTTGAAAAGATCACCCGAAGGTGTCAAAGAGTTACAATTGCTAACAGGGTACAAGGAACCCTTGTGGCAATAAGATACTAATTAACATATAAAAATATTATGTCATTATATATGGGACCAGATATTGGTAACTGAGTAACCCATATCCTCTATGATTGGTCTAAATCTTCTCAAATCTTTCCTCCATTCTCTCTGATCACCTTTATATAATGTGTGTGCATTGCATCATATAATAGAGTCTATTAGTTAAGTTCATATTAAGTTGATAATAACATATTTAAGATCCTACCAAAAATACAGTGTTCAAAATTATTAAATAAATAGTACGTAGTCTGGAAAACCATATAATGATATAATTAATATAGTGACTAGTGCTAACTAAATATGTGTCCCCTTTACTATATAATATCAGATTATTATCTTTAAAACCGTATTTATTAGCCGGTCATTCTCATCATATTCTCGTTTTAAAGCTCTTTTAGTGAAAACAAAACAAAATATAGACATTATGTTATTTTCTTCTCATGATTGCTCTCGCACCGTCACATAAAAACAAATTTAATTACGTGTTCTTGAGGTGTGGGGATGAAGTCAATAACAAACATTAAATCATGAGGTCCCAAAGGAGTTGAAGAGTAGCTGTCGTTGAAATTACAGAATTATTTTAAATATATGTTTCTATTAATTACACTCCAATTTTTCCAATTATAGATTAGTTAAATTAATTTATATTAAAAAAAAATTGTGTGTTTTTTTCATCTAATCAAATTATCCAGCTTATCTCTCCATTCATCTGCATATTCTCTTGACTACAAATAACTTAGTTAATTTTGTTGAGAGAAAAAATACACACACAAAATCTTAATTAATTTTTTTCTTTTAGAAATTATTTTATCAAAATTATCTTATATTCACATGATTTTACACAAATATTTTGAGTTCATCCGTTTTCACCTTCGAAGCCTGATATATTTTGGTTGGAAAAAACCATAAATTATGTTGAAAGATAAACCATAAACCATCAAAATTGGTAAAGCCCACACAGCCCAAGTGTACAAGTGTACAACTTCTTAGCCTTGTATTGCCGTGATTTCAGGCGGATCTACGAGCATGCACATACAATTGTGAACAAATTTGTAACAGAAGAGAGAATTAAGTTCTAATATAAAAATACAAAAACTATAATTTTATTAATTAAACGACGAACAAATCAAGATACGCCCATGAGAAATGGACAAAACAAAACAAAACCCTAACAAAACTAAAAATAAGAAGAAAAAAAAAACTAAATGGAGGAGGTGCTTGAGGTAGATGTGTTTAGTTCTTGGCATGCTTGATGTGACAAGAGTATTGAAGGAGAGGAGCAAAGAAATGACTCTTAAACATCATGTGAAGATGACCGTAACACCTCTTATTCATATTCACAATAATCTCACAACACTCTTTGTCCAATGCGAAATCATTCTCCGCCCAACTCGAAAATATTTGCGAGAAACATTTCTCGTTCGTTTTCGACCCATCTTTGGACAAACACTTCTCTAACTCACCTGATTGCGACACGAGAAGAGACTCAAACGGAGGACCTGGAAGTCCAGGGATGTTAGGGAGTCCCGGGATGTTAGGCATCGGGATTCCCGGAATGTTTGGAAAAGGGATGTTTGGTATTCCCGGGATTTTGGGGATATTAGGGAACGAGCCGGGAGGTGAAGGAGGAGCGTTGGGGTCTGAAGAGGAGGAGCAAGCCCAACCAACCTTAGAGTCACCGAAGTTGTTATTGTTGTTGGCTAGATCGGATGGCTTAGGCCACGGTTTCTTTGTTGATCCGACGGTAGGGTTTGGAAGAGAGACGATGCATAGGAGAGCTACAATGATTATGACGGTCTTCATGGTGTTAAGGCGATGTAAACAAAGGATTTTTTTTTTAGGTATATAAACAAAAATGAGTGAGAATGCATGGATCCGTTTATATAGAGTTTTATTCTTTTATTTTAAAGTAAACAAAATTAAAAAATGAGGATTAAGATAGAATTTGTATATACTACGAATATGTTGTAGCAGTTATTATCTCTATATATAAACTGATTTGCTTGCAATTATTATCTCGTGAAATATATTTTTGTTATTAAAATGTATATTCAAAATGTTTTTTTTTTTTTGTTTTGTTTTGTTTTGATAACTATGGTTTTTTTAAAAGAAAAGGAAATTAGCACAATCTAAATATATCAAAGACCTGGATATATATGGAAATCATGAAAAAAGATTAGATATATATTTCTGTTTGGTAGATTATACGATTTCTAAACCAAAATATTATGTAAAATAATCAACATGAATAAAAATAAAAACCAAAGACTGGAAGGTGATTAGCCAAAAAAAAAAAAAAAGTTATAATAAAGTTAATTTATCAACTGAAGTAGATATCATGATTCATGAGTAAAAAGAAAAGAAACATTCAAATCGTCTTGTTAATAATTTCCTCGAATTTTCCATTAAATCCAACAAGAAGATCCAACTCTGTTGAATATAGAGATTTTTATGTTTATAGTAAAATGCAAAATTATAATTTACAAACCAATACAACAGAAAGAGAGATTGCACTGAGATCAATATATGAATCATATTCATATGATACAACAGTTTGCTTTCCTAACTATCTTTTCAAGTCGAAAAATATATTTCTTTATACAATCTCACATAAATTGAATGCTATTGAATTTATTGGATATAAATTTTGAAATTGGAGCTCATGATATTCACTTTTTTACGGATGTCACATATCAAAATTTCGAAAAAGAAACAAAAGAATTGATTTTGCAATGCAAGGCAATAAGAAAAATTTCAAATACGCAATTATTAACTAAAAATCACGAAGAAAAAGAAAAAGAAGCATTCAAATCGATTAAATACAAACCAGAAGATCACACTCTTCTGATTGTAGAGTTTTCAAAAATTATAATTTAAAAAACGATGTAACAAAAAGAATGATTGCATCGAAATCGACATGATACAACAGTTTTCTTCCCTAACGATCTTTTCAAGTCCAAAAATATAATTTCTTTGTAAGTGAATTTTTTGCGAATAGTGCGATTGAATCTTTTGGTATTTGATTTTTTCTTTATTCATCTACATATACATTTTTACAGGGGATTTTTGCAAAAAGTCTTTTGGATCCGGGTTTTATCCGGGATTAACTCTATCCGGATCTTGGATAAGGAATTTTAGGAATGTTGTCTTAAAACCACATTAATTCTTAATTAACACCTAAATTGGAAATATATATAATATATCTAAACTAACCATATTTGTTATTTACCTTAACTACTTCTAACCATAATTATTTAACTATTTATTTCTATATAGAAAGAATATGTGATTAAAATAAATATTTTGTAAAATATTTATTTGGGAAAAAATTGTTCATACGAAAATAATTTATTTTGTTATAAAAATTAATATTTGTTATTTGTAATTAAATTACATAAATAATAATAATAATTTGTCTACACCATCAAATAAAAATAGTTAGTTATTTAATTTTTTATTTAATATTACGTAATTTTTAAAAAATAAATTCAACAATATAATGTCAATGGGTTTAATTCTAAAGATTTGAAAATATTAAAAAATATACTAACCAAAAATTATCTATCCTAATTTGTTTCTAACAATTTGGACACAAATCTTTCAAATCTTTCAAAAATTTAATGTGATCACATTTGTTACTAAAATCTCGATTATATTCCTAAAAATCTCGAGAAGATCTTCATTTAAATCTGCAAATTATAATTTATGAATTAAATAAACTAACAATACGAATAATCCTAATATATTCGAGTACCATAACGAAATTAATTCTTTAATTAGACATATATTTTCGAAATTATCTTAAATGCTTATCATTCCAAAAATTAAATTGATTTCGAATATTTTCACAATCTAAATTAATTACTATAACATACTTTATCTCAACTATTGTTCCTAAAATATTGCTTAAATCTCGATTTTAAAGAAACTAATTACTCTATATATATTTCGAAATAATTAGATTTGGATCCTTTCTTTATTTGAACGGTTTATCAAAATTATATTCCTATAATAGATTGTAAAACATTAATGCACTATTACGAGAATATGAATTTAAAGGAAAATCTTTGATATTAATACTCCTAATAAATAGCCTATTTTAATTGCAAAAATCTTTCATATTAATGCTCTGAATAAATATGCAGATTTTAACCGTATATAATAATTGCAATTCACATTTCTTGCCTAAATAAAATGAACTATATTAATTCCGTATTCAATCCACCTAAAAGATTTAGGAAATTTTCTCATGATAAACGATATTTAAAGATATTATCCTAAAATGGTTAGGAATATATGTAGCATATTCTAGATTTGTGATAATTTAAAGATTTTCGAATATATCAACGCCTTACTAATCAAGATTTTGGATATTCTCTAACACAAAACCCTACTAACCTATCATAACTCTATAAATACTTGATTGTTTCTACTACTTCTGAACACACAAAACACCAGTTGCATTCTTTAACTTTCCAATTTCTAATCTTAATGTGTTGTTTGATTTAATTTCTTGAAATTGGATTCGATTAAACTTTGAATTTTTGTTTATACGTTTAGAAATAAATCTATTTTGAATTTTCTACGTCAATCATTTTATGAAATTTGAGGAAAAAGATACAATTCTTTTTTTATATTCATCAATTCTTTTGTTCATATATATCGCTAGAGTCTTTGGATATTATTAACTTTTTTTTTGTTCGTGTGCAGATTCTTTGTGGTCGATCATGTTGGTGATGAGTTACGACTACTCTCAATGCTAGATGCTTTGGTAACAAGTTAATTTCTATATAATATGGATTTTCCACTTACAGATTTGGAATGTCAGATTTTGTGAGTTGAAAAACTATTTATGTTTCAAAGTGTATATCTAAGCTATACAAAAGAAGTATATTTGACATCTTTTTCTCTTTTTATATTTGAGACTGTAGCCATTAAGAGTATAAAATATCTGCAAAAGATGAAGACCAACATAGAGACACCAATTTGTATCAAAAACAGGCAATTACTCATTTGACTAACTCTGGTTGTGTTATACGTACGTTTATTATTCTTTCAATTTGCTAACGACCTTATATGTGACTATTTAGTAGAGCTGCTGATTTGTATAGGCAGATTCTTCAGCTAAAGCCATTGCTGGAGTACTTTATTAAAATTTCTGACTCAAAAAATTTATATGTTTTGTTTTATATACGTTTATTATATTTTCACTTTCACTTTGGCTAATGATCTTATGTTTGACTATTTAGTAGAGCTTAGCCTAAGGTGCATTAAGTGAATGCACCATTTTACTAAAAGCAATAGACACAGTGAACAAGGTATCATCCATTTGTTTTCATATATTATACTTGATTTGACAAAATTCATGTTTGCTTTTTTATTGTATTCAAACCAATAATAATCATATTGAGCTTACATTTCTTGGGTGTGAAAGTAGCTTGATTACATAAAAACTCCAAAATCAGAAACGTATAAGAACGGTTGAAGAAGACAAGAAGGTTCTCAAAAGAGATTTTTATTTTATTTTATAATGCAACATTTTCTGTTTTTTCATAGATTTTTCAATTAAAAGTCCAAAGGGTAAAATACAGAAAAGACAAGTGAAGCCTAATTAAGGCCCAATACATAATTACACGTCTTTAACATAAATTAGTTTTCTTTTTTCGAGTTTTTTTTTTTTTTTTTTCTGTTTTCTTAGGTAAAGCATGAGACATTATTTGACTATTTTTTATACAATTAGAGTAATTTAATTTGTCTTTCGAAATTTTGTCTTTTTGGTTTATTTTAACACATTTATAACACACATATATAACACTATATAGCATTATCAAACAATTATATAATAAAGAAAACTTTATTATATTCAGATTAAATAATAAATTATATAAGTAATGAGTATAAATTTTATCCCACTAATAAAACTTACTTAGTTTTAAACTTTGGGATAGTAATTTAATAACATGTATCTTATTCGTATAAATATTTAGTCATATAAAAGCCAAATAATACTTTAGGAAATGTTTTAATAAAATTATTATTAAAAAGAAAATTACAAAATGATGTTTAATTTCACGGGATGAGATTATATGGTGGGAGGGATTTGGATAAATATTAATACGGGATGGTATACTACGGATAAAATCCTAGAATTAATAATCAAACTATAATTATACAATCTTACACACTAAACAAAACAAATATAACTTAAAATTTTGATTTTTAGTTGTAAAATATCGTTATGCGGTATACTATATATCTATAGATTATCTTAAAAATTTTAATTTTTTTATTTAGTAAAAATATAGGCCCGCGGTGTACCGCGGGTTAACATCTAGTTTGCAAACATAAGCCAAGCAACAAAGAGAAGAAATAGATAATTATTCATTGATTCTACTGAACAAAAGATCCGTTCATTAGATATGATCATAAAACAAATACTAAACGAACCAAAACAAGAAAACAAATATAAAAAAACCAAAGAAAGAAGAGAAACTAGCAGGTGACATGGCAAGTGTAACGAACAAGAGGAACAAAGAAAGGATCGTTGAAGAATCCCCAAGCGACGTCGTCACATTCACTTTCCATGTTGACAACAAGGTTGCAACAATAGTCACTAACACTAAACAACCTCGTGTAGAAACTGACCTCCATCTGCATCCGACACATCCCAACAGGTCCCATGTTTCTCATACAGCTCTCCATGTGTTCCCATGGATTCTGTTGATGATGATGATGGCGATGCTCCGGAGGTGGATTTATTGGAGATGATGAGTGATCATCACTTGGTGGCAGAGATGGAGACTTCTTGGGTGTTGGAGGTGGAAGAGATGGTGTTGAAGGTGTAGATGGAGACTTCTTGGGCGTTGGCGGAGGAAGAGACGACGGTGTTGGAGGAGATGGAGACTTCTTGGGCGTTGGAGGCGGAGATGGAGACTTCTTGGGCGTTGGAGGTGGAAGAGACGGTGTTGAAGGCGGAGATGGAGACTTCTTGGGCGTTGGTGGCGGCGGAGACTTTTTGGAAGCTGGAGGAGGAGGAGACGGTTTTGATGGAGTCGACGGAAAGGGCGTTGATGGAGAAATGGAGATGGCTGGAGCAGATCCGTTGCTATAAGTACATTTCCAGACTTTGGAATCTCCATAGCTGAAACTATGGCCAGTGTTCAAAAACATCAGTTCGTTTCTAGAGATTTCAGACGGATTTGGCCATCCTTCGATTTTTGGCCAATATTTTCCGACGGTTGTGGTCGGAAAAGCGGCAAGGCAAAGAAAAGCTGCCGCTACAAGCACCATGGAGTTTTTCATCGTTAAGGGAAATCAAGGAAGATTTGCGAGTGTGAGACTAAATCGGTTTATATATATATATATAGAAGGATTTAATTTTTTTTTTTAAAGGTTAAAAATATAACAAAGATCTTTTACAAACAAAAATTATGATAACGAACATAAAATTCCATATCTTGTAATTATTATCTCCTCAAAATTTAATCTGTTGTAAAAATTATCTCTTGAAAACTCGAAAAGAATATTCTTAACGAGAACCGAAAAACAAAAATTAATATGTACCATATTTCAATTATCAGATGCAGATTTGTCTACTTCTTTGAAAGACCTCTTAAAGCCCATTTAGGCCCGCTAATTAAAAAAATTTAAGCCCATAAAAACGGCGTCGCTTAAGAATTAGACAGTGAGGCAATGGAGCATAAAGGAACTCTCCAAAGACCCGACCCGGAAAGAGAGATCCGGACAACCCGACCCACATATTTGACATTTTTTTGTTCGATCTTCTTCTTCCTCCTCTGTTGATTTTTCTGATATTCCCGTTCGATCTCACTCTGTTTCCCAAAACCTTCGTGTATCTTCATATCCTCAGCATCGGATTTGAAGCAAATTGATGAACTCGTAATCTCACAGGGATCTAAGAGCAGGTAAAAGCAAACGAACACTGTGAAGCTATCGTCGAATTTTCCATTTTTTTGAAAATTTATTTTTCAAAGATCAGATCAGTAATATCGTTATCAGCTTCTCTCGTTCTCTTAATCGATCTGAATCGTAATTGCGACAATGATCAACCGGATTTTGTCTTTCAGGAGTTATGGAGTGGGCAACGGTGCAGCATCTGGATCTGCGTCATGTAGGTCGCGGTGTGAGCAAGCCACTACAACCTCATACGGCGGCGTTTCATCCTTCTCAAGCCGTAATCGCTGTTGCCGTTGGCTCTCACATCATGGGTGATTAAATCTCAGCAAATTATTAAGATTCTTGGTTTCTTCATAGTTGTGATTGTTTGATGTTGAGACCTATTTGGTTTGCAGAATTCGATGCATTAACGGGGTGTAAGATCGCTTCGATTGACATTGGATCTCCAGCTGTTAGAATGTTGTATAGTCCTACTAGCAGCAATGCTGTTGTTGCTATTCTTGAGGTCAATTTCCTCAAATGATATTTTAGAGATATTGTTTTCAACTTGGAATAGTAGTTTTAGCTCGGTTCTTAGCGTTTTAACTGGTTTGTGTTTGGAATTGTTTAGGATTGTACAATTAGGTCTTGTGATTTTGAAACGGAGCAGACTTGTGTATTGCACTCACCGGAGAAGAGGAGTGAGCACATTTCCTCAGATACTGAAGTTCATCTTGCTGTGACGCCACTCCAACCTGTTGTGTTTTTCGGATTCCCAAAAAGAATGAGTGTGACAGGTTGGGTTTTCGGTTCCTGAGTTCTCCTATTAGCAGATTTTTGTGTATTTGTTTTTCTGATTGCCTATAATTTCTTTTTGCTGTAGTTGTTGGAACTGTTGAAGGTGGAAGAGCTCCGACAAAAATTAAGACAGACCTGAAGAAACCGATTGTGAATATTGCTTGTCATCCCCGACTCCCTGTCCTGGTATGATAAAACATCCTTGCATTTTCATCTTAGTGAGTGGAATCTGATTTTGTTGTACACACGAGTAACTTCTTGTTCAATGTTGTCTTTTCAGTATGTAGCATATGCAGAGGGGTTGATAAGAGCTTATAACATTCATACTTATGCTGTTCATTATACACTACAGCGTGAGTATAGGAGGATCTCACATGTCTCATTTTCTTTATTCTTCTCACTTGTGGTATCCTGAGCAATAACTACCACTTAAAGCAGTTCTTTGTTATCCTCGCAGTTGATAATACTATTAAACTTATCGGCGCAAGTTCGTTTGCTTTTCACCCAACACTAGAATGGATTTTTGTTGGAGATAGGAGGGGTACACTTTTAGCGTGGGATGTTTCAACTGAAAGACCTAATATGATTGGAATGTAAGTCAATTTCGTTGCTTTCAGATTTCGGTCAGCTGGCATGAAATTGCTGCCCATTTTTTGCTCGTAATAATTCATTCCTGTTTGTTATATTTTGGAACAACTGCAGAACGCAAGTGGGTTCGCAACCCATCACTTCAATTTCTTGGCTTTCTATGTTGCGTGTACTTGTCACTGTGTCCAAGGATGGATCTCTTCAAGTGTGGAAGACACGGGTAATAATCAATCCCAACAGGCCTTCGACACAAACAAACTTTTTTGAGCCTGCTGGTAAGCCTGATGTCTCTTAAGGAGGAAATGTCTTTTACTCCCCGATTCAGGAATAATTCCCATGATTTGGTTTGAAAACTTTGATTACGCATTGTAGCACTATCCTTTTTTTTGCAGCTATGGAATCAATAGACGTTCCTAGAATTCTCTCTCAACAGGGTGGGGAAGCTGTTTACCCTTTACCGCGAATCAAAACTTTAGAAGTTCACCCAAAGCTGAACTTAGCAGCTTTGATTTTTGCAGTTAAGAATACTTCCTACTGGCATTCCTCGCTTAGGTAGAAGTGTAGCTTCTGTCTTTGACATACTTGGCTTTTTATACAGAACATGGCGGGTAATGAGAACACTCAAAATCGAGCAGCTCAGACTAGGGAAGGAAGGAAGCAGCTCTTTGCAGTTCTGCAAAGTGCTAGGGGATCTTCAGGTGAATCTTGAACACGAATTTTATTTGAACATAACAATTGATACTCTTCTTAACCTGTATGGAACTGTCTCTTGAGAGTCGCCAATCCTCTGTTAATAACAAGGTTTGTGGGTTCGACCAGAGTTGTTCAGTATCAATATCCTGCTTTCTAACACTTGAGGTGATTAACAGCTTCTGTTCTAAAGGAAAAGCTTTCATCGATGGGTTCTTCTGGAATTTTAGCTGAGCATCAACTCCAAGCTCTGCTACAGGAGCATCATCACAAGGGGTAAGTGGATATTCCTCATGCAATCAGTGTTAGAAGTTTCGCAAAAATAAATGACTATCATGTGCAGTGAATATGCCCTGAATTCCGTACCAAATGACTCAAGTTTTTTATATTTCATCGGCTTCATAGTTCACTCTATTACTTTTCTGCAGCCAAAGTCAGCTAACAATTTCAGATATTGCACGGAAGGCGTTCCTGTATAGTGTATGACTGTTTTACCCTCTTGCTTAGACATTATGTTTTTTTTTATTTTTTGGAACTGTTTTGAGCTAAGTCCATGACTTAATCCGTACAGCATTTTATGGAGGGCCATGCTAAAACTGCTCCAATATCAAGGTTACCCCTTATTACCGTCGTAGATGCAAAGGATCAACTTAAAGACATTCCTGTTTGCCAGGCATGTAACTGTTGTTTAGAGCTTCTTTTCTGTAGTATCTGATTTATGCCTGACTGATTGGGTTATTTGACAGCCATTTCATTTGGAGCTGAATTTCTTCAATAAGCCAAATAGAGTTCTTCACTATCCTGTGAGAGCCTTTTATATCGAGGGCCTTAACCTCATGGCACACAATCTCTGTTCTGGAACGGACAACATCTACAAGAAGCTGTACACATCGGTATTATCTGATATCATGTGATTTCGTTTTATTTATTGGTTTCCTTTTACTTACAGTACTTTTTCGTTTCAGATTCCCGGAAATGTAGAATATCATTCGAAACACATTGTTTACAGTCGTAAAAGGCACCTCTTTCTGGTTGTCTTTGAGTTTAGTGGTGCTACGAATGAAGTTGTTCTTTACTGGGAAAATACAGGTTCTCAGCTGCCTAATAGCAAAGGAAGCACTGCTAAAGGTTTGTCTAATCATTGGATTTCCTTGCTACTTTTTAGAGAACATTAAATGGTATCATACTGCATCCAATCATTTAGATATACCAGGGGTACAATGTATGCTATAAAACAGTAGGTGCTCTTTCTGCTGGGAGACTGATGCTAGGGTCTACTGCTGTTTACTCTAGGGACTAGCACTCAAGGAATCTGAAGGTTTCAACAAATGATCTTTTAACTTGAAAGGGATGCAAGCTTAGAATTATTTAAGGCGTTCATCCTTTTTGTTTTCCTGTGTTTCCGAAAGCGTAAACGAACAAGAGAGGACTAACCTCAAAGCTATACTTTTTGCTATGCAGGTTGCGATGCTGCCTTTATCGGCCCAAATGACGATCAATTTGCAATTCTTGACGAGGATAAGACAGGACTTTCTATGTATATCCTCCCAAAATATACCACAATGGAAGAGAATGAGAAGAATTTGTTATCTGAAGAGAACCAAAACAAAGAGGCAGATGCCTCGGGAATTCAGGGTCCACAACAATTCATGTTTGAGACAGAAGTCGATCGTGTTTTTTCCACACCGATAGGTGATGTTGCATCAGATATTCTCATTCTTGAAAATTACTTATCAATGGGAGCATGCCATTGCTAACTGATGCCTCTTTAAATTACAGAGTCCACTCTGATGTTTGCTTGTAATGGAACCCAAATTGGGCTGGCAAAGTTGTTTCAAGGCTACCGTCTCTCAGCTTCAGATGGTCATTATATTTCAACACAAGGTGAGGGACGAAAGTCAATAAAGTTGAAGAAGCACGAAATAGCTCTGCAGGTATGAAATTCCCTACAAAACATGAATGTCCTGCTGATTGCTTTTGATATTTAGTTTCTGTTTCTATGGCCAGCCCTGTAAATGCAGTCGTTTTATTCCGTACCCTTTAATGTGGTTTACATCTGGCCAGCTCTCTTAAAGTAACTTGATCTCGTTCAGAAAACAATGACAAGAAAATGACTCATCATGTTGATGTTAGCTTTTCTATTGCTGTCAAAAAATTGGTTGATTCGACTAGGGTCATTGATATAATTGTTCCTGAAATTTTGGTCAATCAACTTTGGTATATGTAGAGATTCTTAGAATGTGTTTCAGATCTCCAAATTAGTTTTTTCCCCAAATTGTATATAGAACTAATTGTTGTCGCAAAATGAACAGGTTCAATGGCAAGAAACACCCCGGGGATATGTCGCAGGGATATTAACAACCCAAAGGGTGCTGATGGTGTCTGCAGATTTTGATATATT